GTATTTAAAACATTAGTGGAGGTAATTAAAGGGTGTTGTATATTACAAATATAGGATTTTGTAATATGAATAAAGTGTTAGGTATTACATGAGTAAAATAACTAAAAATGTAAAGGTATTAAAAATATGAAAACAGTGTTATAAAATTATGGAGATGTGACGTTAATTCCTCGTATTGAGTTGAAGGTTCTGATGTGTAAATCATTTGAATCCCAGTCAGTCCATGTTGGATCAAGCCAAAACACATGCAACTCCCATACAGATAGAATGCATTACACATTGAGATAACAATACATTAGAACTCATCCAAGATGTTATTTGACATACAAATTAACATACTGAAACAGCCCCCAGGTCCATAATACTGTACATTGAACACAACACAGCTGTGGGTGAATAACACCCACTTCATGAGAGGCTAAAAACAATGTGGATTCAAATGATCTACCAGACATCAAAACCTTCAACTCCATATGAGGAATTAACTTCATATCTCCATAATTTTATAGTACTGTTTTTAATATTTTTAATATTTGTATTACCTTAAAAATTTTCAGTTATTTTACTCATGTAATACCTAACTCTTTATTCATATTATAAATTCCTATATTCATAATATAGAAACCCTTTAATTACCTCCACTAATGTTTTAAATACAAATTCTTGTATACTCTAATATTTATAATTACTTTTCTGTATTGTAATTTTCATGATAACACAAGGCACAGTTTTCTACAACTTGTACAGTTTTTATAGTAGGGACGTGTTGCACCACAGTGTATATCCATGTTGAGATTTCAATTAACTTTATCATATTTATTATATGATGGTCCCATGAGGACTGAAACATGTAGCATTAAACAACAGAATTCAGTCTATGAGATATTTATTTTGTGATACCATTTTCCTTGTTGTGTTGACGGCTACATTACCTAACCGTATAGTTATGACACAACAGGATGCATACTATAAAAATAATATTGTTCTTGGTACCAAATTGACATATTTACTTTCTGGCTGCTTCAAGTCCTTTCATTGCATCCAGGAATGTTGCTTTATATTCTGCAATTTCTTCCTGTGGCACGGTCAGATGTTGATCTGCCACTTGGTCGATACTCTGGATTCCACAAACCTCAAGAGCACTGTCACATGTTGGGTTGTCCTGAGACTGCACTGCAAGATGTTTTAAACTGTGCCAGTCGTCCACTTGATCTTCATTGAGTTTAACTGCACTGTTATCATTGCTACTGACGTGATCAATTGAGAAACCATACTTCACAAAGCATTTCGTGATTGTAGTGGGTGTTATCAGTCTCCAGGCTTCTGCTCTGAAGAGCATTGCAGACAATACATCCAGCTTCACATGTGTAGCATCTTGGGAGCAAATGCTTGTCAATTCTTCTCACCTGGAAAGTGTCCAGAGACACACTGCTCTGTTTGAGTTATAGTTAACCTATCCTAAGATGCAAGATCACACCTGGCCCTAACATGTGAGCAGCTTGGACTATGGTGGCAGAAAACTCTTCATTTTCATAGGCCCTAGTGAAGTCATATGATGCACATGAATCACTGCAGCTGTGCATCAGCCAGTTGGTTATGTTTTTAGACTGAACCATTTGCAACTGCTAGCAGGGAAGGAAGCCCGTTGCCCGAATAAGAAATTCTGAGAAAGAAACTGCAAAACAAGAAACTTTGTTAACTTTTCATAGCCAGGACTAGAAAAATGAAGTGCAAATTCAGGGAGAACGTGAAGTCGAGGAAACATAAAATCCATTGAGGTTCAACATTATTGCTATGGGCATTTGGCCGGGTACCACAAGAAGCGCTTAAATTTGTGAAAAACATAAAATGTAGGATCATAAAATCAAAATTTTACTGTATTCGGCATTAACATGCATCCATAGATATTTTTAGTCAGTCTTATGACAGATTTTTTCCAACATTTTTTTTATTTCATCTACCCTCCCCAAACCCCCAGAAAGCAACCTGTAGCCTTTCTCCTACTCCTAAACACAGCAGTACCATCTTCTCTGGCTTCAAGATCCCCCACTCTTTCACCTTCTCACAAATACTGCAATGATGTCTTGAAATAGGCCACAGCTGATTCCTTCAAAATCCTGCCATGACCATCCTCAAGTCTTGTAATGTCTGAAGTTGACACATTATCATTAAATATTATAAGGATTGATGAAGCTGTCTTTTAACAAAGTATCTTTCAGTGACATAATATTATCACTATATTAATGAGTGACTTTTACTTGGTATGGAGGTGTGTGCTTGTATGAAATGGGGGCATTAATTGAATGACATGCATGATAAATGGTTTATTTTCGTGCCTTTGATGACATTTGTCAGTAGCTTCCTAATGAATTCATTCTGTTTAGAGAATAATGTATTTTGTGTGCTGTCTGTCATCTTTGTTAAAATATGGTATGGTAAAATGTTGGTGTTATGAAAAGAAGTAACATTTCAATCATTAAGTTTGACAAAGTAAGTTACATTTTGTATGATTTCATCTTGGCTCAAATATTTGATCAGTTAAAGGCTCTTTTTATGCCTCTCCAGCCATTCACACAAATTTTATGCAACACTTTCTTGACCAGGAACATTTTGTTACCTTGTTTAATTCAGGTTCAGTATTCTGTTATGATCCTAAGTCTGCCTACTTTGAGTCATACTAAAGATTCCTTTCACAACACAAATAATCTTAATATGTAAATCCTTATCTTCCCATTCCTTTCCCTTCCTCTGTCTGTTGGTTGCTATATTACAGCACAGTGCATAAGGAGATGTGTATGTATACACCGTTATTTGAGTGCTAGGCAGCCATACATGGTTTGCAATCTGTTTGCAGTTTAGAATTATTTTTGACATACAGCACCAGTGTAGTTAGTTTTAAGAAATTTCAAAGAATAGTGCAAAATATTCTAAAACAATACAAAAATATAATAGACCCAATGAAAAGAAAACAGGTACTCCAAATGAATCCACAAGCACCCAAACTGAAAGCAAAAATTAAAATCCACAAACCAGAGGCCCCAATCAGACCGGTT